ACGGCATCATCGGTGATGGTATCAAATCAGCTGCTGCTGCTGATGATGATGATAATACTAGTACCCAACCGGCCAACAATAGCAAGGGTTGGGCTAAGGTTAAGGCCAATCAAGTAATATCCTAATAATAGATGTGATAATTACTGTTTAAAGTTTTTTTTTAATTATTTAATGATTAGATTATTATTTTAATTGTTTTCTCTGATTATTTTATTTTTAATTTTTTTTTCGGGTAATATTTTGTGTGTTTTTTTATGTTGTTGTTGTTGTTGTTGTTGTAATTATTAAGTTTATTCAATAATTAATTATTGTAGTAATAATAATAGTTTATTTATTTATTGTAATTGTTGTTTAAATTGTGTATATATATAATGTTTTATTTTATTTTTTTTAATTATTATTATTATTATTAGTAGTAGTAGTAGTTCAAATGTAATATTATTATTATATAATATTATAAATAAAATTAATTTACTGATTAATTATCGATATTTAATATTAAATACAATATATATATAATATAAATAAATATTTATATTAAAAAAATTTTATTATAATTATAAATTTTAAATATAATAAGTTTATTGTTTAAACAAATATCTAATTTATTTTTTACATTTATATAGATTGCACTTAAAACTTGTTAATAAAAAAAAATATTATATTGAAAATAATTTTTTTAGTTTCAAATTCAAAATTATTAATTATTAATTTTTTTAAAAAAGATTTAGTATATTATAAATGCAATAATAATAATAATAATTAATTGTAAAATTGAATTTAACTTTTTTTTTAATTTTTTTAATAATAGTAAAATTGAGTATTTATTTGATTTTTAGTTAAATAAACTTATTTTTTATTACAACATAAATAAAATTATTATTATTAATAATATTATTAATAGTTTAATGTGTAAATTATAAATTTTTGAATTTTTAAAATTAATTTTGTGTTATTCAGAAAATTGTAATAATTATATATATTTTTTTTTAATTTTTAAAATATATAATATTAATGCAATAAATTTTATTATAATCAATGATTTACAGTATAAATAATTTACTAAAATAGTGCTAAAATAATTTTTTTATGAAATATGTTATTTTTTTTTGATTGACAAACAAACAAACAAATAAATAAAATTTATTTTTTTCTATGTTATAATGCTGTCCTTGATTTACATTATTTTTTTAAATAAAATTATTATGAAAATTGCAAAAAACAATATTTATTTTATTGTTTTAATATACAACAAAAAAATGTATATTTATTTTAATCGCATCACCAAAATAAATAAAATAAAGCAAAACTAAATTAAATACAATGATTACAACAACAACAATAAAAAAACATTAAAAAACAATAAAATAAATTATGAAAACCTTATAATCGATTTCATGTATATTATAAAAAAAAAATAAATAAAATTATTTATTTTTGTTGAAAACTAAAATGTTATTTTTAGTGTATTATATTTTTTTTTAAATTATTACGTGACTTAATGTTGAATTGTTTTTAATATATTTTATTTTTTTTTAAATTAGAAATTTATTTCTATTGCTAAATAAGGTTAACATCAATGGGTGACACAATTTGCTATTAAATTTTATGAATCTAAATTATATTTAATAAATTGACTTTTAAATTAAAAAAAATAATAATAATTTTGGTTTATATTTCAATCAATTACTATCAAATTAAATTGTTAGTAAAAAATAATTATATTGTTTCAATATATATATATATATATTAAATACATAATTTGCATATCAAATGTTTAACTATACAGTATATATATATATTATATAATTTTCAATTTTGTTTTATTTAATGTATTATTGTATACTATTAATCTAAATTTGATTAAAAAATAAAAATAAAATATAACTAATAATAATATAAAAAAAATGGTGCATAACTAATACAAAAACAAAAATTGATTGATAAATAATAATACTATTATTACAGTTATTTTTGTTGAAAATCAACACAATTTATATATATATATATAATATATATATATATAGATATTTGATTGAAATATATATTTGATTGAAAATAATAAAATCAATGCTAAATATAAAAACTTTTTCAAATAATATTTAAAGTTAATAATTACTAAATTATATTGTGATCTCATTTTATTTTAGTATTGTTTATCATTATTATATGTATTATTATTATTATGTGTGTTCAAGCATTTAATGACATTAATTATAATTATTATTATTAAATTATATATATATATATATATGTTATGAATTGATTTTTTTGTACTGAATATATCAAAATCATTAAACAAAATAAAAATCAAAAACAATAAATATTTTCACCAAATAATACCAATAATAATAATAATACTGAATATTAAATAACACACACACACACCCACTCACCAAAAAAAATCACTATTTGTTTGATATAAAATCAAAAACAATTGTCACATAATTATCCAATTATTTTGTTGTTTTCAGTGACAAACAAACAATTTTTTTGATATATAAATAATCGCTAATAATTTTTTTGTTTGTTTGTATCAATCAATCAATTGATTGATAATAACTTTGATTTTTTTCATATAAAATATTTTTTCAATCAATCAATCACTACTTAACTAATAAAATGAAATCAAAAGTGTATAAAGAGTTTAAAAGCTATTCCTATCGTCGCCGGGAAAGTCCTATTCAGGACATCCATGATTTGGTTCCCTATAAGGAAAAAGAGATAATCCATACGTTTGATGTCATACCCTATAAACAGCCGTCACCGCCGCCACCACCGCCACCAGTCTATAGCCAATCGGTGACCATTCATGTGGAGAAACTGCCGCCACCGCCGCCGCCGTCGCCGACACCGAAAACTGTGATAATACCGGTGCTGAGAGAACCGGCAGTAATGGCCAGTCCGCCGAAAAAGTGTACGAAAAACTCGTACAAATGCGTTACGTTTACCGTCGATGAGTATCATAATTATCAACAACAGTAATGATTTGATTGGATGGGATGGTTGGGTATGGGATGGTATGGTATGGTATGAATGGGAATGGTATGCTTTTGAGTAGGGTATTACCTGGTCAATGATTTTTATTACTATCAATATAGATTAGTAGTGGTATTATTATTATTATTATTATTATTATTATACTAATAATTTTGGACAATAATTGTAATATTAATATAATATTAATTAATAAAACTTTATAATTAGTTTTTTTTGTTTGAAAATTATTTTCTTATTATTATTATTGTAATAGTTATTGTATTAATTATTATTATTTAAATATATATATAAGTTTTTAATTGTATGTTATTTTTATCAAAAACAACAACAACAACAAAATTGTTTGTTTAGTAAATGTTATTATTATTATTTTTATTATTATTATTATTGTAATATTATATATATATATGTGAAAAAATTATCTAGGACAATGTTTGCTTTAGATTAGTTTAATTAATATTTAAATTAATATATTAAATGTTTTATATTTAAATTATATTTTATTTTATTTCCATAAACTGTATAAATGTTATGATTATGATTATAATAATAATAAAAATAAAAATTATTAATTTTAATAATTGATTATTTTTATCGTTATCTATAGTATGTAATAATTATTTCTCAGAAAAAATAAATTAATAAAAATAATAACTAAATAATGTAAAATGTAAACCTTTTTTATTTTTATCAAAAAAAAAAATTAATAATAATAATCAAAATGTATTGTAAATTACAAAAATATTTGTACATTATTTATCTATATTAATATTGATTATACTATAGTATAGTAACTTTTTATTACTATACTAACTTTTTATTTAATAATTATTGATTTTAAAAAAGTAATAATAATAATAATAATAATCAGTAATTATAATTAGGTTTATATTAAAAAAATAAAGTTTATTAACATGTATTTAACAATAATATAATAACAAACAAACAAAAAATAGCCAACAATTATAGCCAATTAGGATCTGGAAAACAATAATTGATTAAAAAATATATAACTATAAATAAAATGATAAAAACTATATACATTATAATATCATATACTGTATATATATATATATATAGACTTTAGCATATGTTACCTAGATCATTTACCTAGATAATTAACATAAATAGCTTTATGTAAAAACATAACATATTATATTTTTTTATTAATTATATTGAAAGTGTATTATTATATTTAATTATGTATTATTATATTTACTGTATATAATATTTTTAAGTAATTTAATTAGAAATATATTATTAACACTAATATTAATTTTGTGTTAATTTTTTTTTGTTTTTGTAATACACAGTGTTTATCACTGTATATATATATATATATATATTGCTTGAATTAGATAATAAATTGAAATTAAATTAATTTTGTTGTTGTTGATTGTTGGCAATCATATGATAATTATAACTATAAGTTATTTTATTTTATTTTATTTTTTTATTAAATAAATATTGTATGTTTAGGTACATACGGTACACCTAATTAGCTATCTATCTATCTAGAAAAAATAATATAATTGTAAAAAAATATTAGATAAATTTTTGATACATATATATCTAATCAAAAAATAAACACAAATATAATAAAATATATAAATAACAATAGGATTTCGGAAAATCAAATTAAAAAAAATAATTATTATTATCACCACAAAAAAATACAGTGTTTTCCCATACATAGCAATACACATAAAATAATAATATCATTGATTTATTGATAAATATAATTTTATGATATACATGGTATATATATATATATAGTTATATTATATATCGATATATTAATATATATTACATTACATTAAAAAAAATAATATCCGTGTAATATTGATAATAATAATGGTATTTAAGCACCGGGAGTCTATTACTAGGAAACATAAAATAGTAACTTATTTTTTTAGATATATATAAATAATTATATATTTTTATAGTATTATTAAAATAATAAATCTATAGTTATTTAACCAAAAAAAAAATATAATAATACAAAATGTCTATTAGTTTGCTAACTATCCAATCGGTTGCTGTCGTCCTATTGGCTATCAGTCTAACGGTAGCCGAATTGGCCACTATTGACGCCGACCAGCCGTTAGTCGACGGCCAGAAAAAATGTACCGAAGACTACGATTTTGACTATATATTATTGGCCAACCAATGGCCGGAAGCATTTTGCGAGACAAACAAATGTACGGCACATCGGGATGTCTGGTCGATACACGGCGGTTGGCCGCAGTGGTCGAATACATCGACAAAATGGCCACAAAATTGTTGTTTTGAACGCGAATTTGATTCGGGACTACTGGATCCAATTAAACCGAAATTGTTGGCCAATTGGCGTACATTGAAATCGTCGGGTACGGATGACCAGTTCTGGTCGCATGAATGGCAAACACATGGTACCTGTGCTATGCGGGCACCCCTATTGAGGGGTGAACTAAACTACTTCCAGGGTACATTGAAAATGTTTGACCAGTTAGCATTGGACAAGTGGCTATCGGTTGCGGGTATAGTACCATCGATGGACAAGGCCTACGAGGTATCGGCTCTGCATTCGGCTATTGAGTCGGCTCTGGGCCGTCGGGTAGCCATCGAATGTTTGACCAAAAAACATAACAATTCGCCGATATTGAGCCAGCTAAACGTTTGTATCGGTAAAGATGATTTGCGGCCAATCGACTGTCCCGATAATGTCCAGGACAAGCGTTGCGGCTCAGATACGGTTGCATACCTGCCCTCTAAAAACTAATTGTATGGAAATGAAAAATAATTTCTGTAAATAATATGATATTAATATATTAAATAATTTTTTGTTGTATTTATAATTATTATAATTATTGTATTTTTTTAGATATATTAATAAATTGTTTTCATTTAAAAAAAATAAATAGTTTTTAAGTATTCAAATAAATTTATATCATATATGAAATAAATAATAATAATTTTAATTACAATAAATATTAATCAATTGGTTAATTTATGGAAATTTAAAAAAAAATAATTTAATCATTTATTTATTAATATTTAAATCTCAATTGATTTATTAAAATTATATTTATTTTTATTTTATTTTAAGTTATTTGTTTGAGCAGATCTTAAATATTTGATATACAGGTGAATATATTTATTATAATAATTATAATATATTTTATTTATTTTAAATAATAATAATTTAGTTTTTCGGTATAAAAAAATATTTCAACAATTTTTTGTTGTTTGTTTGTTTAGATTCGTCTCAAATAATTTTTTTTTACAATTATTATGAATTAGTTATATATTTTGTACACATTTTTTTAATAATAATAATAATAATTCACATTTTGTTTGTTTGCTTATTAGTATTAATACATTATAATTTTATGGCATATTTTTTTTAATATATATATAAAACCGATAATAATAATAATAATAATAATACAGTAATTAATAATTATTTTATGAAAAATATATTTTTTTTAAATATATATATATACTGTATATGTTTTGCCTTTATATATATCTTTATACATATTTATCAAATTAATCCATTAATTAGTAGTAGTAGTAGTAGTAATAGTAGTAGTAATTGAAATTCAATACAAATTATTTTAAAAAATAAATTGCATTATATTTTTTTTTTGGTTAGAAATAATAATAATAATGTTTTTAAATAATTATATGATATTATATTTGTTTTTAAAACATTGCATTCATTTTAGTATTTAAATTAATAGTAAAAAAAACAAATAATGCATATATATATATTATATAGTAAAGCAATTTATAGTGATTTTTTTTAAAAAATAAAAAAAACCTACTGTTAATCAATCAATGATAACAAAAATTATCGACAAATTTTTTTTTGTATGAATTTTCTATGAGTGATATATATATATATATATATAAACAAAACAATAGATGAAAAATATATGAAATTAAAAGTTAATAATAATAATAATTAATTAGTTTTTTTTGTTGTTGAAAAACTAAAATCATTATATTTTGTATATGTTTTGCATATATATAGTATATATATATATATATATATATATATATATATATATATATATCCAGTATTCATATATGATAATTGAGATAACAATAATTGTCGAAATAATATTAGAAATAATAATAATAAGAGAGAGAAAAAAAACTAAATTACATAATAATAATAATAAGTAATATAAATATAATGTTTAAAAAAAATTAAATAAATATTTAAATTAGATATACTGTATATGCAATAACATATACAAAAAAAATATACACAAAAATGTTGTATTTTAAGCAACGAAAAAAAAATTTTTTTTACCGCAATTACGATAATAATAATAATAAGTTATAAATAATATTTTTTATAATAATAATAATAATAATAATAATTAAATAATAATAACTTAAATTCAATGAATGAATGAATTATTTGATTTTTTTGACAATAATTTCGTCTTCAATGCTATTATTGTTGTTATTATTATTATTATTATACTGTCGGCGCCGTAACGTCTGTGACCGCAATCGTTTCGTATGATTATTATTATTATTATTACTAGTATTGTTATTATCGGCGACGACAGCAAACTTTCTTTTCATGGCCGCCGCCGAACCTCTAGTCTCTAGTCCGCCGATTCGGGTAATAAGTACGGGCTGTTCGGTGATGACGACCGCAGATTTTTGTTGCTGTTGTTGTTGTCGTTTGTTGATTAGTGGTGGCATCGGTGGCAACAAATCCTTGTCACTGTTGCTGCTGCTGTTGCTGTTGCGGACCTCATTAATGATCACAATGTCCTCTTGAGAAGCGGCGACGACAGCGACCCGCTGTTGCTTATGGTTGTCGGTAAGTAGGCCTTTATCGGTAATGTTGTTGTTGTTGTTGTTTGACCGTAGATTACGACCAGGGCTAATGGTTACCGCTGCTGCCAACGGTGACGATATAGCCGTAGCCGCAGCTCGTCTATCACTTTTGCGGCGACCAATCGTTGTATTGTTGTTGCTATTGCTTTTGTCGTAGAGTACGGGCGGCGATCGGGGCACTGTTTGTGATGGTAGTGCCGCCGCCGCCGCCAGAACCGGTACCTTCTGTACCATAATTTTGTCTTCAACTATTTCGTGTTGCATTTGTTTAACACTACCACCGATGATGGCGGCGGCGGTGGTGGTGACAACTGTTTCGTTGTTGTTGTTGCTGTTGTTGCTGTTGTTCAACACTATTGTCTTCAACTTTGTTGACTTTATATCGGAACCGATGCTATTATTTTTAGTCGTAGTGGTCGTTGTCGACTCCGATATGGCTATCTGTTTGGTAATAGCCGGAGGAGACGGCGTTGTGGTAGTAGTGGTGGTGGTGGTGGCGGCGGTAATGACCAAACATTGGCCCAAACAGTCGACTCGTTGACAGTCTAAACAAACGGTAGTCGTCGGCGGCGGCGGTACCGATCGATGGTCTTCAACAATCAGTTCGCTGTTAATCGATTTGATGTCGTCGTCCTCCTGGTCATCGTCGGCGACGTCGACGTTGTCCTCATTATCATCGTTACAATTACTTGTTGTCGCCGTTTCCGATCGTTGGCCACCAAACTCGGAACCTTCGTTAACACTGGACATGTTGTCGTCGCCGACAATCGACTCTTCATCCGAATCGCGGCAACTGTGACCCCATTCGGGTTCAACTATTTCCAGACAACACGGACACCGCATTATCCTATAGTTTATTAAATAAATAAATTAAAAAAATAAAATAAAATTTAATTTATATTTTTTTTGTTGATATAATTTATATAAAAAAAGTTAGAAAAAAGTAATTAAATAAAAAGCAATTTTTTGTTTTGTTTTTTTTTGTTAGTGTTGTTGTAATTTAATGTTAATATATAGAAAAATTAAACAAAAAAAATATATTTATTTTATTTTGTTTTTTTTGTCTCTCTTTCTCTCTCTCTCTCTCTCTCTCTCTCTTTCTTTCTCTGTATAGTATAAATGATATGTTTTTTATTTGACTCACAATAATAATAATAATAATTACTTCAAACAAACAAAAAATAATAAATACTATACGGTATAATAGATATATCTTTTTAAAAAAAAAATATTATTAATTGTGAAATAAATAAATAAAAAAAAACAATTCAATTAAAAAAACAATTCAATTAATCTAACAAACAAACAAACAAACAGAAAAACATTTATATAATTAAAAACAATATAATAATAACTTTTATATAATAAAAGCTAAATAATTATTTAGGATAACTAACCTATATATATAGTTATAGTTACTAAATTAATAATAAGTTAACTAATAGTTAACTAATAGTTAAATAAAAAAAATTAAAAAATACTCAAATTAACAGATTAGCACAAAAAAACTAATAATAATAATAATAATCGGAAAAAAATTATGAAAAAAAGTACTATTAGTTATATAAAAAGTGTATATTAATAAAAAACTTATAATAATTTAGTTTTTTTTTAAAAATATCGGGAAATAAAAATAATAATATCGGGAAACAAAAAACAAACAAAAAAATCAGTCAATACTTGGACACTTCGATATCGATGCCCCGACAGTGCTTCTTAACCAAACGGGACTTCCAATTGAGTCCGGTTTCCAATCGCCGATATCTGTCCAATCGTTGGCGCCGATTGAACGAATATTCATGACTTTCGCTTCGGGGACCCCACATCTTATCGATGCCGGCAAACCCGGTATTCGATCGGGTAATCCTAGTGTTGCCCAATTTGTTTGCCTGTTGTAGGGCACCGGCAGCCGCCGCTGCAGCGGCCAATGCATCCCGTATGGACTGGACACGATTGCAGTGTTGTTCGACCCGTAGATTCAAATTGAATATCTGTATATAGTTCAGGGGCTGTCTATCACTCGATACCCATACCCGTTGACCCATCGGTGACGACAACTCGAAAGCTTCACCGTATGAATCCATTTCCTGTACCAATTCGTCCCGTTGTTGTCGTTGTAGATCCTCCTGAGATCGTTGTTGCCGATACTTGTCCTCTTCGACACTCAGCCGGGACTTATCCGACATCAAACGTTTGTGTAGTTTTTCCAAATCCGATTGTAGCCGATGTCTGAGTGCCATATCGGCCGGTAAGTTGGCCTTAAATTTCTGTAAACGTTCGTTGTATTGTTGCGCTTCCCGATACCATCGGATCTTACGTTCACTGAGAGCCTGACGTAAATCGGGACCCGTTTTTAGCGGCTCTCGTATTAACTGTTAGTTTTTTGGAAAAACAATTAAAAAAAAATAAATAATCGGTAATTACTATTGTGTTTTCGGTTACCTTAAAGTTGGCCAACAATATTCGACCCTGTTCATCGGTTTCGGGTTTGCCAATACGGCTAACTTTCCTCAGTGGCCACTGCTGGAAGAGTTGGCGCGTAGTTTTCGTCTGGCGTTCCCGATCGGGAATCAGATTCAGATATTTGAAAAACATCCGATCGTCCATACAGTCGGACTCGACATCGTCGTCGGGTAACACCATCAGCGACATAGATGACGGCTGCGCAGCTGCCGATGAAGTTGTGGCCAAACCACTAGTGGATGATGATGAAGGCGTTGTGTGACTGATACTACTATTATTAGTATTGCGGGGTCGAGTGGACACTACGATTGTCGTTGTTGTTGTTGATGACGACGACGACATCAATCGAGAGGTGACCGCCGGTGATGACAACCCGCTGTGACCCGTATGATGAGTGGTGGTGGTGGCCAACGGCTGCCAGAGTCGCAGTTTTGTTGGCGACGACGACAATGATTGCGATGATTGTGACGATGAGTATAAAGACGAAGACTTTGGTGTAGCCGTAGTTGTTGTCTGTGACAAACAAAACGGCGGCATAGATATCGATTGTCCTCCACTACTACTACTATTACCGCTACCGCCGCCGCCAATAGTAATAGTGGTGGTGGCCGTAGGTTTCGACGACGGCTTATTCAGTACCACATAATGTGTGGACTGTTTGGTAATAATGTTGTGGTGTTGTTGTTGTTGTTGTTGCGGTCGCTGCGGGTTAGCGTCCGATGAGATACTGGACGACACACAACACGGACTGAAACACTTTGGCTTCGGTGGCGCCGCTGTAGAGGACGACACCGCCGCCGATGATAATAAACTCGGGGTCAAACCCGAACCACCACCAGTACTGCCGCCGCCGCCTCCGACCACCACTACGTTAACATTATTTTCTTTAATAAGAATATTCTGCGAGTTTTCCGCATTGATAAACTTCGGCGAACCGGGCGGTGTGGCCACTGGCCGGTGTACGCCAATATGTTGTCGGCTGCTGTTGCGTGCGGTTGTGTTGGTAGTGGTCACCGAAGTCGTCGTATTGGTTGCCGATTGGCGACGTTGACCGCCGCCGCCGCCGACAGCAGCAGCGGCTCTATAGACGGCTGACCCGTTGTTGTCCGTCGTCGACGACAAGGAGTCCCTACGTCTACGACCACTACCACTACCAGTCCATCGATGGCTATCGTCGAAGACTACTATGTCTTCCTCCTCATCGTCGTCGTCCTCTTCGTCCACTTCGTTGTCGTCATCGATAACTATGGTCACCACACCCGACGAGTTGGTCTCCACTATACGGCTCATTGTGTGCACCAAATAGATTGGTTGACAATAGTATAGATAGTTATGATATATATATATATAGAGAGAGAGAGCCTATGATATACACACACAGTGTGTGTGTGTGTGTGTAGTGTATGTATGTATGTATCGTATAGTATGTATGTGTTTGGTGTGTATGTGTTTAGTACAGTATAACTACTATTACTATTACTACTACTACTGTACTATAGAGTGCTTATGGGTATCGCCTGTATGTTTCAAACATACAGTTTCAATGCTAGCTATGATAGACGGCTCCACTATGTATGTGTAGGTTGTTTTATGTGTGTGTGTGTGTGTGTGTGTGTTGACGTATGTATGTATGCGAGTAAGTGGGGGGATAAACAGTGGGTGTACTGTACTATAGTTAGAAAGAGAGAGAGGGAGAGAGGGCTTTACCCCTCCCCCCGACTTTCCCGCCCCGTGTCTAAACACACAGTACAGTACAACCCGATAATTATTGCTATGATGTTTAGAAAACTTTTATWTATATATATAGATTGTGTACTTTATATATCAGTATAAGTTAAGTACTAATACAGCGTTCAATTGTTATGTTAAATAGGTATATAAAATTCTATATGTAAGTGTGTGTGTGTGTATGTGTGTGTGTATGTATGTATGTATGTATGTATGTATGTATGTATGTATGTATGTRTGTGTGTRTGTRTGTGTGTGTGTGTGTGTGTGTGTGTGTGTGTGTWTGTGTGTGTGTATGTATGTGTGTGTGTATGTGTGTGTGTGTGTGTGTGTGTGTGTGTGTGTGTATGTATGTATGTGTGTGTGTGTGTGTGTGTGTGTGTATGTATGTGTGTGTGTATGTATGTATGTATGTATGTATGTGTGTGTATATGAATGTATATGTGTATGTATGTATGTGTGTGTGTGTGTGTGTGTGTGTGTGTGTGTATGTATGTGTATGTGTGTATGTATGTATGTGTGTGTGTGTATGTATGTGTGTATGTGTGTGGTTGTGTCTAGGTTAGATTATTGGACGCATTTTATGGATAGCTATCTATTAAATAAAATTATTGAGATAACGTACTGTCAGTTTTGGTAAACATTTTTTTAATATAATTAAGTTTTACGTTATATTTGTAATATTCTATTATTATTAGGGGTTCGAAATGTTTAGGGAATGTCTATTCCTTCTCAAAATAAAATAAAATAAAAATTTTGTTTACAATATTATTAAAATTTTACAATTAATTTACAGCATTAACTACAGGATTTATCTGTACATTAATGTTATTAGTATTATTTATTTAATAGCAAAAAAAAAATTTTACCCTAGATTATTTTAAACGTAAATTATTATTTATTTATTTTTAAACTGGGCATATTAACTAATTTTATTATTAGAAAAAATAATTTAATGATTACACTTTAAAATAAAAATTAAAAAATATATATTTTTTTTAAAAAAACAATATTTTGCTAATCTGTTTTTATCTAATTTTGTTTTTTTAGAAATTAATTGAATTAATTAAATAGTACTAAAAATTACTAAAAAAAAAATAAATTATTATAAAAATAATTTATTTTTATTAAAAGAAAAAAATCTATATTTTCCAGAATCTTCCCATTAATTTTCCCAAAACATTCCCTCAACACTACACATAAAACACGAGTTGTAAACACAATATATTTACTAATAATATACAGTCTATTGTAATCAGGGTTTTTAGTAGAGACTATACATGTGGTAAAATACTGTAACGTAACTAGCGTTGCCAGCTAAAAAATAGTAAATACTATATATTTTATAAATCATATATTAATCATTATTTAAGAGCTCTAAATCCTTTATTTATTATAATTTATTATTATTATTATTATTATTATTTATTAATCTGTAAAAATAAACTAAATTATAAATATAGTAAATAAATTAAAAATATTTATTTAATTATATTCACAAAAATTTATTATATAACTATTTTATTATATAATACCTTTATTATACAGTATTATTTTAATAAAATAATATATTATAATTTTAATAAGATATTCTAATTAAAATAAATTTATTAAAATTCCTTTATATATAAAATCAATTTTATATTCAATCGGACACAAAACATTATTATAATATATAACATTAGTATTAGTATTATCAATAAAATTAACATTATTTTTAACAATTGATAATTTATGTATTAAATAAAAATTATTATAATTAAGATATTGAGCTTTAATTAAATACTCAGATAAACATGAAATTTTATATTTATTATTACATATTTGATGTTCCATTTCTAAGAAATCAATAGCCACTTCGAATGTAAGTTTATTAATCATATATATATATCAGTATATTAATAATAAAAATTTTTAAAAACAAACTTAATATCCTTAAAAAACTAAAATAAATAAAATATTAATTATTAAAACTAATAAAATTAAAACTATTAAATAAATAAAATAACGTACTTTGAAACAACAATTATAAAAAATAAATTATAAAAATCTTGTTTACATAATTGATTATATTATATAAATATAAAATAAAAATAATTGATTATTATTATCACAATTTTTTAAAAAATTAATTGTTATTATGTTAAATGTTATAAAAATAATTTTATTAATTAAAAATATTATCATAAAATCTTACTCTAAATATTTAATTTTTATTATTTAAAAATAAAATCACATTTTAATTAAGATTTAAATGTTTTTAATAATTTCTTTAATAAACATTATTTAAAATAAATTTTAGATAATTATTTAAAAAATTATTAATTTATAACTGCTTATGAATTAATTGATATTTAAAAACTGTAGTTATTAATTTTTAAATTATTAGATTTTTTAAAAAAAAATTTGTAATACTTTTTGTTTAACCATTAAGTCAATGGATTATTTTTTAAAATTTATTTTTCATCTACATTGAATTATACCAGTCAGAGACAAGGTCTGATTTATAGTATATAAATAATAAATTTTTATAAAAAATAAGTGTAAATTTTGTTGTTGTTGGCAACACTATATAGTATACTGTGTATTAATAAGTCAATGCATTGATATATACTGTATGCTTGTATGCACTAATTGTATATGTGATGTCATTTTTACCTCTACATTGATACCACATCTGCTATTGGCTGAACCACCTCGTAGTGCTTTACTTAATACACTGATTGTAATACTCTATTGAATTAATAGACAAATAATAATAATAATAATAATTGAATTAAATTATTATTATTATTATTATCTATTAATTAAATTAAATTAATATATAATTTATTTATTTATTTATTTTTTTGTATAAAAAATACGAAACAAATTGTAAACAGTTTTTGATTTTTGTTTTTTTTTAATTATGTTTTGATTCGTTCAATGAGTGTATGATATATCGTTGTTGTTTACCGTCGGGTTGTTGTTGTTGTTGTTGTGGCCACTATAGTGATGGTCACTAGTAGTCACTATCACCGATAAGTGTGATGTCTTATTGTTGATGAATGACTTTGTTTTGTTGATATCATATACAGAGAGAGAGAGAGAGAGAGAGAGAGAGAGAGAGAGAGAGAGAGAGAGAGAGAGAGAGAAAGAAAGAGAGACTAAACTAAATTACAAGACATCACTAATACAAGAGATCGCTGGACTCACTCACTCACCCACTCACTCAAGAGTGGGTTAAAAGCTGATCCACACCCACACAATGCCATTAGACATTAACCACACACACACACACACACATAACCATTGATATATACATCCAATATTGAGTGATATTAGGATCAGCTGTTTGATTGATTGGCTAACACCACACCCACACACACCCGACACAACACCAATGTTGCCAACTTCGGGCTACTTTCGGGACATTACGTGTCCATATTTGCGTATGGGTTTGTGCGAACGCGGCCACTGTCACTATAGGCACGACCAGCGCTACGAAGTTGCGGCCAAAACAAAGCCGCCGCCGCCGCGTATCGGCAGCGGCTGTGGTGGCGGCGGCAGTCACTCATCGATAATACCCGATTACGTGCCGACACCAGTTGCCAAACTAAAGCTAACGTACAGTACGTATTCATCCGTACAGCCGACGACTGATTTGATGACCACAACAACGACCTCCACTACTACTACTGCGACTACATCTGTCACCGAAAAGTTGTCCAAAAAGACGTCGTCAAAGTTCAAGAATATCTACGAGAATATACCGGAGTATAAGCCGACACCGATTAGCCAATTGAAACGCCAGAATGTCGGCAAACAGTACGGCGACAGTGAACCACAATTTTCCGACTCCGATGACGACGCCAACGATGACAACGGTGTCAGTGATGCAGTTGTTGTCGTAAAGAAACCGAAGATAAAATCATCGGTGAGTTCATCGGACGAGTCGGTGATTAGCCAGAGATCGTCAAAGACGTCAAGTAAAACTAGTGATACTAACAGCAAATCAGATGGTGGTAAACAACTAAGAAATAATAATATTACCGACAATAGTATTAAGACAATCAAAGACAAGACAAACAATAGTTCCCATAATAATAATAATAATAAAGTTAACTCAAAAACAAAGTCATCGACAAAATCAAAATCAATTGATAGTAAAAATGGTGACAAAATTAGTGATAATAATAATAAAGTTAAGACAACTAAGACTAAGACTAGTTGTGTTGATAATCATAATATCTATGACTTTGATGACAACGATGACGACGACTATGACAGCAATGATGATCTGATCTCAAGTCTAAACAAAATTAGTGGACAAAACACTAGTAATAGTAATAATAATATTAAGCGAAAGAAATCGTTTGACGATTTGCTGTCATCGGCTGATGGCAACACTACTTCTTCTACTTCTTCCATATCGGCCAACAATGACAACAAAAAGATACGGATAGCCCACCAAAGCAGCCACCAAATGGTTAGCCTATTATTATTGTATTTGTGTGTCTATATGTATGTGTATGTGTGTATGTATGTATGTGTGTGTGTATGTATATATGTGTGTATGTGTGTTTTTATGTGTGTGTATGTGTGTATATATGTATGTACTGTATGTATGTGTGTGTGTATGTGTGTTTTTATGTGTGTGTATGTGTGTTTTTATGTGTGTGTATGTGTGTTTTTATGTGTGTGTGTGTGTGTGTTTTTTTATGTGTGTGTATGTGTGTTTTTATGTGTGTGTGTGTATGTGTGTTTTTATGTGTGTGTGTGTGTGTGTGTGTTTTTATGTGTGTGTATGTGTGTGTGTGTGTGTGATATGCTGATGACATTAAAATTTAAATATATAAAAAAAATTCTCAATAATATTATACTTATTAATTTTTTATAGTTATTTATTTATAATTTTTAATACTAAACAATTAAGTTTACTGTAGTTTATATATAAATGATATATTTTATTTAGTTTACCGTGGTTATATTTTATATTATTTAAATTTAAAAAAATATATTTATTATCTAGTTGATATATTTTTTTTAAATAATAATAATAATTAGCTATCTTATATTTTTCTAAGCTCTATATACAGTATATAATAGCTTATCGAAAATTATATATTTTAATAACATATATTTTAAAGAAAAATATATTTTAACTTTTAATTATAATTATTATTATTAGTTAGTAGTTAGTAGTATTGAATATCCAGTCATATGAAAAAATAGTATTTCAATTACTAATATATATATATATTTTTTTTTAAAAACAACAAACATTTCAATAGCTAAATGTAATTTAAATTTTTTTCTTATTTTTTACTAATGATTCATGAAATGAGATATTAATTATAATAATTAATTATATTTTAGGCTATCTATCACTTTATGTATGTATTTTGTTGTGCATAGCATTTAAAATGCAATAATTTATTTTAAATTTTAGTTGAAATTATTAACTGTTTTTTTTGCCATTAATTACCGTAAATTTTTTATGTGTATTATTGTTAGACATCGACATCACTAGCGAATCGGCCGAAAAAAGGTTTACGACTGACGCCGGCACAGGTAATGCAACAGAGATTTGCCATTCAGGCCAACAAAAAAACTTTGAGCACCAGTTCCTCCTACTCCTCCTCCTCATCGACTACTTCATTGTCATCATTATCATCCACTACTACTACTACTACAACAAGTGATAGCAATACTACTACTACTACTTCTACAGTCAAATCGGTATTTTTTGTTTGTGTTTTAAAAAATAAAAAAGTTTTTTATGGGTTTAAATAACTTTTTTTCCCCCAAAAAAAACTTATTAATATTTTTTTTAAAAAGTTTTTTTATAAATTGATTTTTTTTTCTCTCTATCTCTCTGTCTCTGTCTCTCTCTCTCTCTCTCTCTCCCTAAAGAAACTCAACGCCAGTACTACCGTCGGTGGTAAGACCCGCGTAGCTCACCGGCCCGTGACTACTACTAACAATAAAGTGATGGCCAAAAGCGAAACGACAAGTTCTACGGTAGCGGCCAGTCCTGGCGGCGGCGGCAAGAAACGGATAGCACACACGCCTAGTACGGCCAAAAGGCCGATGATTATCGGCGGCGTCGGCAATAAAATACCGGCCAAATTGCGTCAATTATATCTGAATAAGTTTATCGACGAATATCTGGTCTATTTGGCCGAAGAGGAAGCATTCAAAAGAGTGATTAAAATTTATTTATTTTTTAATTTATTTGTTTTTTTTGTTTATTTTTAATATATATATATATATATATATATATATATATATATATATAACTAATAAATTGTTTACCAGTAAATTAATTACTAAAATAATGATTAATTAATACTAAATGTCTAGTAGTAGTAGTAGTAGTAGTTATGATAGTTTAGTAGAAAAATTTAATACTATTTTTTAATTAAATAACTTAAATTAAATTAACTTAAATTAAGTTAATTATTATTAAACATACTGTATATTATATTTATATATATATTACCGGTAAATATATTTAGTATATGCAGTAATATAATAATAATTTATATATATATACAATATATGATTCATACATACCTACTGTGCATTTAAACTATAATAATTTGTTTTTATAAAAAAATATATATAAATTTAATGATTTTAAAATTTTTAAAAATTTTCAAAAACATAAGGTATGACATATCATATATACTGTATATTTACACGTGTCGTTACATTTATTATTAATAATAATAAGTCATTGATTTATTTTATTTTTTTTAATTATTATATTGAAACAAAAGTTTTTTGTCTTTTCAAAAAAAACAAAAATTAATTGATAGGTTTAAAAATAGTTTATTTTATTGTTTAAATATATATATATATAATATAAATCTAATTTATAATGTTTTGTGTGTGTGTTTTTTTGTTGTTATCTATTGTTGTTAATTGATAAACCAAACAAAGGGGGAATAATATATATATATACAGTATATATACTGTATATAATATGATTTTTTTTGTTATATTTAAAACAATAATTTTTTAGTTGTATTATAAAAAAATTTTTCTACATATATATGATGACAGCGAGGCTAACATAAGGTTTTTTATTTGTTTTAGTACATTATATACATATATATATATACTATATATATATATATATATACTATTATATATATTTATGACATGTTTAGTATATTTATTATTATTATTATTAATATTTAATATACATTATAAATAATAGTTATACTTGTTTTGTGTTGTAATATGAATTCATTGGTATTTAATAGGCAGTCATTTGACTAAAAAAAAATATTATTATTTTATATATATATTTTTTTGTTTCAATTATAATTTATTAGTTATTTTGTGTGAGTGTGTGTGTGTGTGTRTGTGTGTGTGTGTGTGTTTGAAGTGTTGATATTGTCATTGGGGATTAGGGGGAGATGGGGGGAGGGAAGGGGTGACAAATAAATACAAATTGTATATTAATATATATTATTTAAAAATTTATTTACATATATAAATTATATATATATATAGTATTTAATATATAATTTTTATTTTATAATTAAATTCATATCAATGTTAATAAGGTTTATAAGAGGATATATATATATATATTGATAAAAATATATTGTTGTTTATACAGCGCTTAAAAAAAAGTTTTAAAAAAAGTGTTTTCAATAGTTTTTTTTTATCTAAAATAATAATAATAATAATAATAATTTTTTTTTATTGTTTTGAAATATTTTAGTTTTATTGTGTAAAGTCATTACTACGTATGTGTGTGTGTGTGTGTGTGTGTGTATGTATGTATGTATGTATGTATGTATGTGTATGTGTTTACTGTATATAAATGATAGTTTTAATTTATTATCATATAAAAAAAAAGTTATTAATTTAGAGGTCAATGAATAGCCATAAAAAATATATTAATTTATTTTTTATTTTATTTTATTGTTTGTTGACTAAACAGTTTACTCACTTTTTTTTTTTTATTTAGTTAGTTAGTTAGTTAAGTAGTATTTAATATAAATATTGTTAACATTTTATTGAATTTAATTGAATTTTGAATTTATTAATATAATGATAATATATATACTGTATATATAAAGTTATATTATTTTGTTTATTATTATTATTGAAAAGTAAAGTTTTATTATTATAAAGTTTTTATTTATTTATTAACAACAAATATATATAAATATATATATAATTATTTAGATTTTTATTAATAATTTTTAAGATCTCAATAATTAGTTGCAACTTTTTGTGTGTATTTTATATTGAATTTTATTGTGAATTTTATTTTATTTTTTTTGAAAATAACTTTTATTTTAATTTAATTTTATTGTATTTTATATGCGATAGTATCTAATCTGACAAAAAAAATATATGATATATACATATACTGTATATTTATTAAAATTAAATTTTAATAATAACTATAGTTCCTTACGATAGTTAGTTTTTTATCTGTGTGTGTGTGTGTGTGTGTGTGTTAGCTAACTGTCCCACTAACTAACTAAACCATAATATCATCAACAAAATAATAATAATAATAATAATAACTTAATGTTTTGTGAATAATGTCTGCCATACAGGGATTACTCAGCGAAAAGATGTTATACGATCGGAGCAAATCCGAGTCCATCTATAAAGTGTTGTCCGTACACGAGGTCAAGAAAATACGTAATGAAGCCCAACTGTCCCAACCGACTACCGGCACCGGCAACAAATTGATGACCACTACCGCCGACAACAAAAAGTTAGGCAATACACTGGTCTCGCACGAAGCCATACTGAACGGCAAGATTACGGGTACATTCAGTGTCGAACGCCGGCCGAAATCGTTGACCGCCGACGACCTGACCGATCTCGAGCTCTATCGTATGCTCGAACCGTACGTACTATCGGAACAATCGCTGGCCGACTATGGCTATCCCCGGCAAAACCCCGACAAACGTGGATCGGCTATACTGCCGAAGATTACGACAAAAATTTTGAATAACTACTCGACCCAGATGCGTACCTGTGCCCGTTGCCAGAAAATGTATACTGTCCAGGACGATGATGACGAGATGCCCAGCCGACGGGAAACCTGTATCTATCATTGGGGTCGGCTGTGGAACGAGCGATTCAATCGGGCCATTGAACGAAAGTATTCGTGTTGTAAACTGGACGCCGGTTCGAGTGGTTGTACCAGTAATGCCTACCATATTGTCGACGGTTTCGATAGGCCCGACTATTGCGACGGTTATGTACGGACGTTGCCGTTGAAACCGCCGCCGCAGTCCAACTATTACGGTATCTATGGTCTCGATTGCGAAATGGTATGTTTGGTTTTGTTTGTGTGAAATTGATTGATTGGTTGTATAGTTAATGTTTGTTTGTCTGTCTCTACACCCCATCCAGTGCTATACAACCCATGGACTCGAGCTAACCCGTGTAACCATTGTCAATGCCAAACAGCAGACCATCTACGAATCGTTGGTAAAGCCAACAAATCCCATACTAGACTATAACAGCAAGTTTTCGGGTATCAAAGAATCAGATCTACGTAATGTGACCACCCGTCTGACGGATGTCCAACGTCGGCTACAATCATTGTTCAACGATAAGACCATACTGATTGGCCATTCGTTGGACAGCGATCTGAAAGCCCTGAAACTAATACACCATACGGTTGTCGATACCGCTCAAGTTTTCCCCCATAAACGTGGTCTGCCATTCAAACGGGCCCTCCGGACCCTTACGGCCGAGTTTCTCCATAAGATTATCCAAGACGACGGTTAGTATTTTTTTCGGGTTATGTATTGCTATTTAAAACTAACGTTTTGTTGTCCACACACACACAGTTGATGGTCACGACAGCAAAGAGGACGCAACAGCAGCTCTCAAACTGATGCTCTGGAAAGTAGCCGAAGATCTCAAACGATACAAACGATAGTATCGTTTCGTGTCGTGTCATATGTTTTAAGACATACACCACAACTTCTTCACACACACACACACACACACACACAGCGTGTCTTCAATAAAAAAAACATTGATTTAAGTGATTATATCATTTGACTATCACCTGAATAGGATCTACTAATTAATTAATTATTATTATTAGTTACTAATTATTTTTGTTTGTTTTTTTCTTTAAAAAATAAGTGATCAATTGATTTGCATTTATATATATATATATATATATATCGTATATTGTTTTTCAGTTATATATGTCTCTGATTTTGTATATTTTTTTTAATTTAAATAATTACCCGTATATTGTTGTGTTTGAGTGGTATATATATATACATTATATTGTTATTATTACGGGTAATATACTAAATTGTAACCTAACCTACTCTACCTGTATATTGCATGTAAATGTTATTAATTATTTATATTTAAATTTATATATTTATATAAATAGATTGCAAACATAATTATTAAAAACACATTACAGATTGTATTAAAAAAAATTATTATTATTATAAATAGCAATTAATTTATATACAAATTTCAAAAAATATATATATATTTATATATACTTATAATAATAATTTTAATAATATTATCATTATTACTATTGTATTAAACTATTATATTAATATTTTTAAAAAAAAATATTTAAATAATATTTTTTCTATTGAAATGCTTGATATGATGACAATGTTGATAATGATGTTAAAAACATATATATATATAATATATTTTTAATGATAAAAATGATATGATTCATACAAAAACAAACTATAATATGCATGTGTGTGTGTGTGATCTATGAGTTTATTTTAGCTACCAGTCCCCCCCCCCATTTCCCTACCATACAGCCCCCCAGACAGCTGTTAATTATAAATAATTATATTTGTTAATAATATTGTTTTAAGGCCAACGTTTAGTAAATTTTATACATGTATAATAATTTATGATACAAATTTATAAATATATATATATATATACTAATTTATTTTTAATTATTTAAAATATATGTATACTTGAGATAAATACATAGAGAGATATGACCATGATGTTTTTATTTTTTATTTGAATTAATATTACATTGATAAGTTATTTATTTGACAGTGTGTGTTAGTTAAACATTGAAAATTGAATTAAAACAAACTGTTATATTAATTAATTAATTATATAATTATAATAATTATAAACATCCTAACAATTGATTATTTATAAATTAATAATTGAAAACAACAACAAAATTTATGTCTATTAACTAATTAATGCATTTAATTATAATTTAATTTTTTAAAATTTAATTTATATATATATATATATATAAATTATACATAAATCTATATCTAAATATTTATATATTTTTTAATAATAATAATAATAAAATGATGATTATATTACCAGTTGTTTGTGTGTTTTTATATTTTTTAATTTAATTTAATTTAATTTTTTTTGCTAACCAATAAAAATTGTGATTAAAAATTAAAAATAATTTTAGTCTCAGGAAAAAACATATTGATTTTATTTATTGATTTTGTTGTTGTAAATGATATTAAATTTATTAAAAATATATATATATAAGTTACCAAAAAAATATATATAAAAAAAATAAAAACAGATTTAATATCTGGGAAAATGTTTAGCTAAGCATTTAATTATAATTTTTTTATATTATATATGAATTTATGATTAAAATAAATATAATTTTTTTTTACATTTCATTTATATTAAAACATTATTTAATATTATTTTTCTATTGATTTTATTTAAAGTATTAAACTAACAAAAAATAAATATTGTTTTTAAAAAACATTTATTTAATATTTAATAATAATAAAAGTAATTGATTTTTTAAAAATATATATATACTGTATATTTATAGTATATTTTTGTTGTTGAAAAGTTTACTTTAAGATTAAAAAAAAATTTAGTTTTAAAAACTAATAAATAAAATAAATTTCAAAAATAAAATAATTTTCTTGTAATGCATTTTACTCTCTTAAGTATTAACTTAATGTTTATTTAATATTTATATATATTTTTACTGTATATATATATATATTCAATCATATTATATTATAGTTTATATATAAACTATTATATAATATCTATTAAAATATTATTATTATTATTATTTCAAGTGTTTATTCATAATTATTGAGTTCATTGTTAATTATTAGACAAAGAAATTTATTAACAAAAAAATATTAACAAAAAAAATCCTTATAAAGTAATACTGTATTTACGTAAACATAGTATTATTATTATTATTATTATTGCCAAACAATAGATAACTACTTATATATACTAAAAAAATGTTTATCACATGAAATACTACTGTATATACAGTATAATATATAATATACAGGTAATTGATATTTAATTTTTTAAATTATTTGATATATATATATATATATATATATTATTTGTTAGCTAAGGTTATATTAGGCTTAATATTAGTGTATTTTTTAATAAAAATAAATTTATGTGTAATAATTTTATTGTTTTTTGAAGCATACAAAACAACTTTTTTTTTTTGTTTAAATACTATAATTTTTAACTAAATTTATATTTCATATTAAAATACAATTTTTGTTGTTGTTGAGTAAATATATATTAATATCTGTATAAATATAATAGAAATAATTTTGTTTTGTTTCTCAATAATGTATTAATTATTATTATTATTAATATAAAAACATATTAAACATAACAAACAAACAAATAATTATATATATATATATATATATATATATATATATATTAAACTAATTAATTTATAACTTATTTATTTATTTATTATATATATGTGTATGTTTTTTATTGGCTAATAAATTGCACAATAATTTATTTATTTTTCAAAATATTTATTATATATATTTATTTATTTAGAGTATTATTTACTATAATATTTGTCAATAGTATGTGAAATCAATATTTTAATAATAATATTATATATCAACGAAAAAAAAATATATTTAAATATTATTGCAAACAAACCTATTGTGAAATTTATATTATTATTATTATGTTATTTATTACATATACATATTGTGTACAAATTAATATATATTTTATAAAAAAATTAATAATAATAATAATAATTTAAATTGCAATTATATATTTTTGCACTATAAATGATTTTACATAAATTATATATATTTTTAAATTTATTTAATAATTTTTTTATATATAAAAATCAATACAATAAAAAATAATATCCTAATTAACTTTTTTATGTTTCATATATATATATATATATAAATTTATATATATATATGTATATATTCATTACAATAAATATTTACTGTATATTATATTTTTGAAACAAAGAAACAAAAAAAATAAGTCATTATTTTTTTGCTAATCATTTTAGACATGACTGATATTACTATTATTATTATTATGTTTTTATAATAATAATAATAATAATAAAATTGTTATCAATTGATTCATTTTATTATTTGTTTTATTTGTTTTTGCTTTTGAGTATTTATCATATTTATCATATCTTTTATTTATATATATATATATACATATATATACATATCATATATATACTGTATATTTATTATTGAATAGCTATAGAATAATACAATAACATAACGTATAAAAAAATAAAGTTATGAAACAATTAACAATTGATATGAAACCTGTATATTAATAGTAATAAATTTATATATATATATATAAATAGCAATACAAAAAAAACATACATCTAATTAATTAATTATAACTAAAAAACAAATATATATTATTATTATTTTTTTGTTGATTAATTGAGACCATACTGTATGTATGTACAGTATATGTATGATATAGACTATCAATTAATAGGATAAACGGTATTAATATTAATATTTTTATTGTAACTAATATTATTTGATAAATAAATATTAATATCATTATTACTACAATTATATTATTGTGTAATATTTTATTTTTTTACTGTATATGAAAACATTGATGAAAAAAACATATATGACTTAACTTGTTATTTGAATTGAAATATCTGAAATAACAATTATATATATATATATATATATATATATATATATTATATATACCTGTATATTATAGTTAATATAGTTAAAATAATAAATAATTTTTATTAAAAAATATTTAGTAATAGTATTAAATTATGAAATTTTTAAAAATATTTTTTTGTTGAAATATGTAAAATAAATTAAATAAAAAATAATAATTAATTTTATTTAATAAATTATTTAAAAAATTCAAATAAATATGGTTTTCAATGCTTTAGAAAAAACAAAATATATTTATTTATTATTTAATTATTATTATTAAAACTATTTTTTTTGTTTATTAATCATTAATATATAAAAACATATTTATACAAACAAAAATTTCCAGGGTAATTATTAATATATACATTATATATATATATATATATATATATATATATATATATAAATTTATATCATGCAATATACTGATTAATAATAATAAAAATATAATAATTTTGTGCTTAAATAGGCAACAATTTTTGTTATTTTTTAATTTTGTTAATCAATTTTTTTTGGTTTGTTTCTAGAAAAATAAAATTATTATATAATATACTGTATATATATATACAGATTAATAACTTATGATATATTATATAATATTATATTACTATTAGTATATACTGTATGTTATCTATTGATAAATTTTCAATATTATATTTTTTAAGTGTCAAAGTCTATCACCACAACTATATCGATATAATAACAACAACAACAAAAACTGTTGATTAAAATATTTTGTATTTTTGTTGATAAAAAAAGCAAACAAAATAAAAACGACTTTTTTTAATGATATTTTGTTTTTTTTAACTTTATTTCATTTATTATTAGTTAATACTGTAGTATATTATAGAGACTGATATATAGAGTGAATACCTCTATATATCATAAATATATATATGATATATCTATGACATACAGTATATATTAAATGTGAAATTTTTGTTGACTATAATTTCAGACTAAATTTGATGAAAAATGATATACGACTATTAATAAGCAATTTATTGTTGTTGTTGTAGTTATTGATACAGTAGTTGTTGACTATGCTGTAGACACGTACACACACACACACACATACATACATACACATACATACACACACACACACACACACACACACACATACATACACATACACACACACACACATACACACATACACACATACATACACATACATACACACACACACACACACACACAYACACACATACACACATACACACACATACACACATACACACATACACACACATACACACATACACACATACATACACATACATACACACACACACACACACACACATACATACATACACACACATACACATACACACACATACACATACACATACACATACACATACACATACACATACACATACACATACACATACACATACACATACACATACACATACACATACACATACACATACACATACACATACACATACACATACACATACACATACACATACACATACACACACGTACACCTGTTTTTTGTGTATACCAGTGCGCAAACCAGTTACACGCCTATACCAATGGGAATTGTATGGCAAGTTGTCTGAAATACCGGCCCCCAGAATATCACGGGTTAGCCTTCTCTCTCTCTCTCTCTCTCTCTCTCTCTCTCTCTCTCTCTCTCTCTCTCTCTCTCTCTAAGTATGCATTTTTTGTGTGTAAAACTACTGCTGCAATAATAATAATAATAACAACAACAACATAGACAACAAGGAAAGGTATAAAAGTCGTCGACAGACAACTAGAAAAAACCATACAAACGGAAAATCTAACAGCGCTTTCAAAAACAAAAACCATTTTATAAAAGTTTATTAATTTTTTTTTTTTGATAACTATTCAGATCTCAAAAAGTTTTTTTTTTTGTTATATATAATTGTTTTGTGTGTGTAATAGTCAAGTCAGTCAATTAAAGTCATATAATTAAAGAGGACAGTCGGGGTCAGTCAGTCATCAATCAGCAGCAGCACCAGTATGTCGGAGACAAACGTCGACCAATATGAACACTACAACTACGATCAGGACAAGTATCTGAATGCCGGACACGGAGGCAAACAGCGAACGAAAAAAGATATCGTAGGCCATACCAATCATACCGATCCCAGTGGCCATACACGCAAAATTGTCAACAAACTGCAAAATACCGAACAAAATAGGAAGGTGCCGGCCAACCAACAACACCAATCCAATGGTAATAATAAGGACAAGAGGCCCAGTGTTAGCTAATCTGGTGCTAATCTGGTAGTTTGTTTGTTTGAATGTTTACGATGGGATGGGTGGGTGTGGATAGGGAGCTATATCATCTAACATAAGCTAGCATATATATATATATATGGTAAGTTATATGATAATAATTATTTTTTTTTTAATTTTTATTATTATGTTTTTGTTTGTATATATATTTTTTGTTGCGTATTAGTGTATGTATGTATGTGTGTCTGTATGTTTGTAAGTGTATGTATGTATATATATGTATGTGTTTCTGTATATATATATATGTATGTATATATATATATATATATATATGTATCTGTGTGTATGTGTGTGTATATATATATGTGTGTGTGTGTATATGTATGTGTGTGTGTGTGTGTGTGTGTGTGTGTGTGTATGTRTGTRTGTGTCTGTATGTATGTATGTGTGTGTGTGTGTATGTGCGTGTATGTGTGTGTATGTRTGTGTGTGTGTGTATTTGTATATATGTGTTATTTAATTACTATTACACTAAATAATTTTCCACTTTTTTTTGTTACTAGCAATAACAAACTATTTGTTATTATTATTATGATTTATTTTTATCAGCAAATTTCAATGTCAAACCTGTTGTAAACTGTGTAGTTGTTTGCTATGTTATGTTAGCCTTAATTAGATTTTAATGTTTTAACTAAAATTATGTTTTTTTAAAATATGTATTAATAACAGCTTTTATATATATATATATATATATAATTTTTTTTTTGTTTAACATATAATTTGCTTATTATTTTTTGTTTTAATTTATTTTACAATATAATTATTATTAATAATTATTTATTTTTTCCAAAAAAAATTGTTGTTTAGGTCGTCCACAAAAAAATCAATGATTTCAATCACACAACAACCCCACCCCTGGTCTCCCCCTCCCAACCACTCAACCCTCACTACTACTACTACTACTACTACTACTACTACTACTACCCCAGCAACTGATTTAACCGATTATCTCATCATTTAAGTAGACTTTTTTCAATAACATATATATATTTAAATATTTATATATAATTTGTTATTTTTTTAAATTTCAATTCAATCTAAACTTAATTGTAACACAAAAAAACAATATATATAATAATAATTATTGATTTAAATTTATATTATAATTCTATATATATTTTAAATTTAATGTTTTTTTTAAATTTTTTCGTTGGGTCTATAAAACTAAACCAATTGGACGACATTTTCTTTATATAATTAATTAATTATTATTTAACTAAATATTAGTTAATAATTAAAATAATTTTGTTGTATATATATATGCTAGTATATATTTTTTGTATATTAAATAAATGTGTATTTTTTTCTATTAAATTGTAACTTTTTTTTATTATTTGAATTTGTTGTTTATAATAAATAATTGTTTTTTTTGATAAAAAAAATTGGTTGTTAATTGTTATAATAACTATTGCTAATAGTATTTATAATTTTATAATTTTAATTTAATATTAGTTTTTTAAAATTACTTAGTTATCGATAAATAAAAATATTTTTATAAAATTATAGAGATTTTACATACAGTATATAAGTTCAACATTTTATAAATAAATAATTATTTTTATTAATAATTTTTAAAAAATACAATTCAAATGTAATTTTTTTAATATGAAATAATTATTATTTATCAATAATTTATTAATTTATAAATTTATCGTTAAATAGTATTACATTTTATTTGATAATTACAATAAATATTGTAATCAATACTTTAAGATTTAAAGTTTAAAGTTTGTTTTGTTTAATTGTTTTATTTTATAAATAAAATAACGTGTATTTAATGTTAAGGTCAATAAACTTATTAAAGTATTTAAAAACAGATACTAATAGTATATATGGATTAAAGTATAATTCAAAAAATTTATAAAAAAAAATAAATAAATAAAAATTTAGTAATTTTATTAATGTTAAAATTAATTTTATTTTTTTTTGTTAGAAAATATATATTAATAATAATTTTTTTATTAGTTAATTAATATATTATTTATTTTATTTTTATTTAATAATGTTTTATTCAACAACTAGACTACAGTTCCTTATTGTTGTTTTGTTGCTACCGGTGCTGGTTATGATGATAATGATGATTAAGGCCGACAGGGATCCTATGGACAGGGATGTCAATCGTATTAATAATACCGATGATTATTATGATTATCATCATCGGCTAATCGGTGGTATACAAACACACATTAATTATCATAAATATGTGGTTAGTATACGTACGGCCAGTAATAATAGGATTATATGCGGCGGTGTTATCATTGATAAACAATGGATACTAACATCGGGACAGTGTGTTGTCGGGTTAGTTATAGATATATATATATATATATATATATATATATATATATATACATTATATATACTATTGATATATTTATTATATATACTATACTAATATATATATATATATATATATATATATTATACAGTAAAATTATATTCTAATTAATTAATTACAGTATAATTATAATTATATATATTGTACATATATATATATATATATATATATAAATTAATATTAGATAAATATTAATATATTCAATATATTTATTATTATATCTAATTATTATTAGATACAGTGTTAAAATTTATTAGATATTAATAGATTATTATAATTATTATTATATGACTATTATATGGGATATAATATTTCTCTCTCTCTCTCTCTCTCTCTCTCTTTAAAAACACATTTATCTATTGATATATATATATATTTATAGATATAGACGTAATCCCAATAGTCTGACGGTATGGTCGGGTACCGATCAATTGAGTTCGGGCGGCGAAAATCAAACGGTCGACAAAATAATTTTTACCGACGGCGCAGATCTGGACAAACTTAGAAATCATGTGTAAGTTATATTATATTTTAAAAAAATAAATTATTTTTTACTTTAATTTATATAACATGTATAATAACTTTATATAGTAGTATACCTAATATCCTAATATATTTTTTAAAGTAGAATATATATATATATATTTATATTTAAATAATAGTATATTATTTTTATTAAATTAAATTAGTTTTATTTTTTTTGTTATATTTTGTTTTATATATAATATTTATATTGATTTAGTGAAACTATAACATAATAAATATATATATATATATATATTTTATAATAATATATTGTTTATAAAAATAATAATTATTAAAATTGTTTTATTTTTTTATATTTTTGTTTTTTATATTTTATTTATATATTGATTTAGTGAAAATATAACATAAAATATGTATACAGTATATATATTTTTTAATAATAATAATATATTGTTTATAAAAATAATTATTATTAAATTTGTTTTATTTATTTTTGTATTTTGTTTTATATTATATTTATATTGTTTTAGTGAAACTATAACATACAATATAGCATTGATTAAATTAAAACTAGCCATCAATTTAAACGGACAAACAATTAAATCGGTAAAACTAACGGAAAGTCGGCCTGTTTTCGGACACTATATTAAATTGTTGGGTTGGGGTTCAGTTAATCAGTCAAATAGTGTACAAAATAAGTTGACTGCCGGTGACATGTATTATGATAATAATGCTAGAAAATGGTGCATGGACAATTATCCAGTACAACAATTTTGTCTATACAATCGGGTCTATGGAGTTGGTACTGTAAGTGTTTTATAATTTTATGTGTGTGTATGTGTGTGTATGTGTGTGTATGTGTGTGTATGTGTGTGTATGTGTGTGTATGTGTGTGTGTGTGTATGTGTGTGTATGTGTGTGTGTGTGTGTATGTATGTGTGTGTATGTGTGTGTATGTGTGTGTATGTGTATGTGTGTGTATGTGTATGTGTGTGTATGTGTGTGTATGTGTATGTGTGTGTGTGTGTGTTTATGTATATATGTATATGTGTGTGTTTATGTATGTATATGTGTGTGTTTATATGTATGTATGTGTTTGTGTGTGTTTGTGTGTGTTTGTGTGTGTGTGTTTATGTATATATATATGTAATGTTTTTACTTATATAAAATACTTTTTAATTGATAGCTAAATATATTTGTACTGTATATATATAAATAAATTTACATACAATAGTATGACCATGGTGGTCCAGCACTTTATCATAATCCCAGAGTCAGTTTAGTTGGTATAATATCAACGGGATTTACTAAACAAATAAAGCCAATACAGGAGGACAGGCCATCAGTGACTGCCTATTATGCTATACTAACCGATATTACCGAACATCGGGATTGGATTTTAAAGAAAACCGGAATTTAAAATTAATTTAATTTTTTTTTTGTTAAATTAGTTTTATATTGTAATTAATTTTATTAATTAATTAAACACACAAACAATTGAATAAAAAAATATTTTTTATGATTTTTTTTAAATTTTAATAATTATATATAAATAACAAAAATATTATTATTTAGAAAAAAAACAATTAATTAATAAATAAATTATGATTTCTTTTCTAAACTATATATATTTGTTATAAAATTTTATTATTATTATTAATTATAATTACATAATAATAATAATAATATGACATATAATTTTTCCCATAAATATATTAGGAAATAAAATCGCAATAATAATAATGTATAAAATGTCTTTAAAATAATTATTTAAAAGTTTAAGAGGAAATAAATTAATATATATTTTTTTGTTATGTTTTTATTATGTTTTTTTTTGTTGTCAACTTTGGGACAAACATATTGTAAAAGTATTATATATTATATATGTTATGTAATATTTAAATATTTTTTTTATATATTTATACTTTATTTAAAAATAATAATAACTATTAGTTATTAAATACTAATAATATTAAGTTCAATAAAAATAGTTTTGACAAAATTTAATTTTCCATATCTACTAAATATTATTAATATTTTTTGTGAAAAAGTTTCAATTATTTACAATCAAATTTTTCTAATAAAAAAGTGAGTATAAATTTTTTTAATTTATTGATAACTAAACTATTTATTATTATTATTATTAAAATAATTAATTTTAATTATTAAATTACATATGATTTTTAAAAATAAATCATTTAGTTTAATAAGCAAATTAAATTTAATAAATTTAAAATTTAGTCTGAAAATAACATAAATTTATTTTTTTTTTAAAATTATATATACAATACAATATATTATATAATTTTATATTTTGAATTTAAAAAAAAATTACTATTAGATAAATACTGTACCTAATAATACAGTATTGAATTGTTAGCTAAATTATTGTTGTCTATTAATATTATTAGAAAATAAATAGACAAAAAATTATATATATATATATATATATATAAAGTTTGTTAACATTTAGTATATTTTTATAAATTAAAACAATAGATAGATATATCTAAAATAGAAAATATAATAAAAATAAAAATCATTAAAATTTTCAAAAAAAATAAAAATTATATTTATTTATTATTAGATAATAACTTATTGTATAATGCAATGTCATAGATATATGTAGTATTATATTTACAATTAATTTTTATAATTATATACTATTTTTTGTTTATTGTTTTTAATCATTTTTGTTTAAAACAAATGATAACACATTTTAATCACCAAAAAAAAAGTTAAGATAAAACTAATATTAAATATAAATATATAATAATAATAAAAGTCAAACATATATATACAATGTTGACTCATAATGTCTACAAAATATTTAGTTAATTAATTAATTATTATTATTATTACAACTTTATTAATATATTACTATTACTATATAGTATTAATCTAATAATAATAATAATAATAATAATAACTACTGTATTAAATAAAAAAAGGGGTGAAAAACCAGTTTTAATATTTATGACCACAAAAATAATGTGCAAATGTTTTTATAAATTATTAAAAAAAAATAAAATCTAACTACTGTATAAAAAATTTGTTGACTAAAAATTAACTAGTTACCTGTGCAATACATGACTGTCCCATAAATATATATATATATATATTGTTTTTTTTTAAAACTTGTTTTCCATTGTATTACTACTACTACAGGTATGTCATCTAAAATTAAAAAAAAACTTCACTTTTATGTTTGTTTGTTTGAAGTAAATGTGTTTATAATATACTGTATATATATATTTAAAAAATTAAGTTATAAATAAAATAAAATTTAAATTTAGGCCACAATTTTTTTGTTGTAGTTAGGTGTCAATGATATTGAACTTCTAGGGTATGTATAATATGTATGTTTGGGAGGGAGGGTTGTTGTGTTGTTGTCTGACAGGTCATACCACTACCAACACTACCACATCATCATCAGTACATCCAAACTACCAGTCCTACTATTAATAGTGAAAAACCCAACTATTTTTTTATTTTAGGTCAAACCCAATCTGTATTTATTTTTTTTATTTTTTTAGTTAGTTTTGTACGAAAAAAAAACTATTTTTGTATTTAAAGAAAATCTCTTTTCATTTCTCTCTCTCTCTCTTTTCTTATAAGAAAAGAGATGTCCATTGAATCGGTGGCTGAAGTAGTCTATAAAAAGCGTCAAAGAGGCCGACTATCACGCTATTGGTCGACAATGGGTTTTATATTTCAGATCGTACGGGACATCGACCCGAAGCTACGTATAATGATCGACACGTTTACACTGTTGGGATTGGTCTATACGGGCCGTATGGCCATCGGCCTGATGATAGCGGCTGTACGCGGTTTTCGTGTACATCTATGGTCCAGGGTTTGGACATTGGATCTGAAACGCAAATACGGCGAATGGGCAGTGATTACCGGAGCTACCGACGGTATTGGCCTCGAGTATGCCCGTGCATTGGCCGGTCGCGGTTTTTCCCTAATACTGGTCGGCCGTAACGAATCCAAACTAGCAGTGGTTAAACAGGAATTGTTAGCCCGTACTCAAGTGGTCACTATTGTAGCCGATTTGAACAGTGATGACCCGGAACTGTACGATCGTATTGCCGGTGAAATTGATGGCCTCAATCGTGATATCGGCATACTGGTCAACAATGCTGGGGTTATGTACGATTCGCCCAATCGTTTTATGGATCAACCCGTAGATAAAGTATGGCAACACATTCGGGTCAATATTGCGGCCGTACTGATGATGACCAGAACGGTACTGCCCGGTATGATACGTAGGCGACGCGGATTGGTTATCAATATGAGCTCAATTGCCGCCTATAAGCCCCTACCGCTGATGGGTGTCTACAGTGCCTCAAAGGTATTGATTTTAACCCGAACCCCGAAGTTGTTGTTGTTTTTACCGCTGATTTATGTGACCATTATTTTTACGGGTGTTTAATAATATTWTTTTYTCTCTCTCTCTTTCGTCTCTCTCTTTCGTCTCTCTCTCTTTCGTCTCTCTCTCTTTCGTCTCTCTCTCTCTTTCGTCTCTCTCTTTCGTCTCTCTCTTTCGTCTCTCTCTCTCTTTCGTCTCTCTCTCTTTCGTCTCTCTCTCTTTCGTCTCTCTCTCTTTCGTCTCTCTCTTTCGTCTCTCTCTCTCTCTCTCTCTCTCTCTCTCTCTCTCTCTCTCTTTAAAAAAATAGGTATTTGTCGAGTGGTTCTCGAAGACACTGGAAATTGAATACAAGTCCTACAATATCGACGTCCAGACACTGACACCATCGTATATAGCGACCAAAATGACCGAATTTTCCGATCTACTACAGAAACCGTCCATAATGTTTCCGTCGGCCGAAACATTTGCGGCCAACGCTATCGCCACTATTGGCCGCACCAGTCATACAACCGGCTACTGGTGCCATAGTCTGCAACATTTCCTAACCAATTGGTTTGTACCCGATTGGGTCTATACGATGTCCAGTTGGCATTTCCTCAAGAGTATAGATAACTCTAAAACTAAATGATAGTTATAATTATGTAATAATTAAGTTTTTAATTAATTAAATAATAGTTTTTTTATACAATGATTATTATTATACAGAAAATATGTGATTGTGTTAATTATAATTATTAGAGTTATATATATGTTAGTAATTAATTAATTAATTAATTGTTTTAAAAACTTTATTAATATATTATCTGATTTTTTATTAAAAATTTTTTTTTTACAAAAAAAATATATAWATCTATTTTTCAACTAACTTAATATACAAACAAAAAAAAAGTTTAAGTTTAAGTTAAACAAAAAATATTTAATTATAAATAAAATTAATATAAATTAAAAATAATTATAATATATATATTTAAAAAAATTAATTAATTAATAACTAATTAATTAATAAGTAATTAAAATAAGTTATAATAATAATATCAATACTGTATAATAAAAAGTTGACGTCATTTATGAACGACAACAACAATAACAACACAAACAAACAATACATTCAATTAGTTTAACGTTTTTTTTTTGGTCAACAAAATCGGTAAAGAAAAAACTGGTCACCGATTAATTAGTGGTCACCCCCGATACTAACAACAGTACAGTATGCCTAAAGGTGGTCATCATCATCACCGACGCTGGCCGTCCAACAACAACCATAATAACCATAATAATAACCACTCGCAGCGGTCATCGGCGGCCGCGGCCTCCGGCCAACACCATCACTATGCGCCGCCTCGGCCGCCGTTTGACATCTATATGGTCGACGATTTTTTCCCCCGTGTGGCACCGATTGCCGATCACGACACACAATTATCGACGGTAAGTTTCCGGTTGTGTCCACTGATATCTACCGATACTACTAATATCTGTTATCTCTCTCTCTCTCCCGATTACCGCCGCCGCCGCCACCGCAATACAGGCCATACTCGCCCGCAATACAGAGCTGACGCCCACTCCCGAAGAGCAGACAAACATTATTAATATGGTATCCAAAGTACAGATGGTTTTGGAAAATATTACACTAAGTCCGGGAACTTTTGACGCTTGTGTTGGTTATCACCCGTTATTTTTACCGTAAAACAACTGTTTGCCGATAACTACTACTAACATATATTTTGTTTTGTTTTTCTGGCCAAACATACAGCAAATAGATGAGGTACGGCCGGTCGGTTCGTTCAAAAAGGGTACGATGAAAATCGGACATAACTGCGCCGATTTGGTGGTCATATTGAAGACTCTGCCGGTGATTGATGCCATACAATCGCTTGGAGCCAAAGTGCTCGAAGAGTTGGCCAAATTGGAGACCAACAGTAGTAGTAGTAGTAGTAGTACTACTACTACTACGGCGGCGCCCGATATCGGTATCGATGACCATCCGAGTGGTTTCGCTATTGTCAATCGTACGACCCGTGCATCGGTACGCATACTGATTGCTACAATAATGCCCAACTTGAGGAAACTTGATCCGAAAATTCATTTACCCGTAAAACTAATACAACGACACTTGTCGGCCATACGTCACGCCCGTTGGTTCGAAGAGTCGGCCAATGTTACAACTGTTAAGGTACTCATACGTGTACTCAGGGATCTGTTCGGCCGTTTTCAGGGCTTGAGTGCACTGACTCCGTGGATGATCGATGTGTTGGCCCACTATTCGGTAACTTTTCGTCACCAGCAGTCGCTATTGCCGCTGAATACGGCATTCAAACGTGTATTGCAGTTGTTGGCCGGCGGTATCTTTTTGCCCGGTAATTGATATTTTGAGTTTGTATGTATGTGTATGTATGTGTATGTATGTGTATGTATGTGTATGTATGTGTATGTATGTGTATGTATGTGTATGTATGTGTATGTATGTGTATGTATGTGTATGTATGTGTATGTATGTGTATGTATGTGTATGTATGTGTATGTATGTGTATGTATGTGTATGTATGTGTATGTATGTGTATGTATGTGTGGACATACCTTTACTAATTACATACCAGTGATTTAATGATTATTATTATTATTATTGATAGGTTCGACCGGCATATCCGACCCGTGCGAAAACGGTGCCATTACTCTGCATAGTTCACTGTCGCTCATACAGGAAGATACCATTTGTATGACTGCCCAGACATTGCTGCGCATCCTGAGCTACGGCGACGGCTATCGTATTATACTTGGCCTCGACCCGGATAACACTGGTATTACCGACAATATGTCTGTCTGGGACGGTGTTGTTGTGGCGCCGAGTACTGCTGCCTTTGAATTGCCGCCAAAAGATGACGAAATGGACACACAGGAGACGGCTGCGGCTGTTGGCGGCGGCGGCACTGGTGGTAGTAGTGTTGATAAAGCTATTATTGGCGATCCAATTGTAGTTACCGTTTCTGCTTAGATCTGTGCTTATGTATGTGTATGAGAGGGGGGGACCGGTATGTCTATGTCTATGTCTGTATGTGTGTTATCATAACATTTCATTTACCGTAAAAATAAATAAATAAATATTTTTGTTTGTTTTCCTCTCAAAAATATTTTTTATTTATTAATTTATGATTTTTTTTCCATAAAAAAAATTAATTTATATTTATTTACTAAAAACTATTGGATAATTGTGTTTTAATTAATTGCCAATTAGTTAATCATTTATTTTGTTTTTTAGTATTCAATTATTATTATTGTTATTATCAGCTATTAATAACAGTATTTTTTTATTTAAAAAAAATTACATTTAAAATATGCATAAAATTAATAAATTGATTACTAATAATTAAAACTTATTAATTAAATACATTTTATATTATAATTAGTAAATTTAACAAAAAAATAACTATTTAATAATTTCTACTCAATAGTATATTAATGTGTATTATTACAAAAAAATAAACCCATTTTTTAATTAATTAATAAATTTGTATTGTATTATTAATACTAAAATAATAAAATTTATTAAAAAAAATGATCCTGATTATACGAATAAAATTATTTATCAATAAATTTTAGTAAATAATAATTTATTATTTATATTAAATTAGTAAATAATTTATACAAAAAAAAATCTTATTCTACTATTGATAATGTATTCATATATTTATTTAATTAATTGATAATAAATCTAAATTTAGATAAATAAAAACAATTATTTTTTTTTCAATTATTATGCTTTTAAATAGAGTTGATAAATAGCATTAACAGATAAATTATTTAATTAAAAAAAATTAATAATTAAAAAGTTTAAATTGTTTTAATAGAAAAATTTAAATAATATTATTAAAAATTAATAAATAAAACTTTTATAATAAAAATAATTTATATATGTTTTATACAGTTTATGTCACTTAAAAGTTTAAATTTGAGTAATATTAGGTAATGCTTTAGCTAGGTAGTTTATGTAACTTACCTAATATAAGGTAACTTTATACTAAGTTATCTTGCTAAGCGTAAAGTTAACTGTACATGATATTACTCAAATTTAAACTTTTAATTGGCATTATCTGTACAATATTATTGCTAACTATATATCAATACATTTAATATAATTGCAGATAATTTGTTGATTGTTATTGTTGTTGATTTAATAGTTATATTTTTATATAATTATAATACAATGATATTATTATTATTATTTTTTATTAATACCGGTATATACTTTACACTTAATACTGTAATATTATATTTTGAATAATAATAATAATAATAAAAATTAAAAACCTTGAGATTCATGCACTTTGCACGTGATTTTGAAATTAATTTTGCAATTTTTGTATAAAAATTATTTAGTAATTTCTAATATTATTAATAAAAATTAATAAATAATTTTCTTTTTATTTAAAATAAGTTATTGTATAAAAACTAATTGTATTATTACTAATATATGAGACATTTGATAAACTTATTTAAAAAACTAATTTATTAAAGTTAATAATAATGATAATAATAATAATAATTAAATAACTAATGTATTGGAAAAATTTCAATCTATTTATTATACAGTAAATTGTTAATAAAATTTTTTAATTATTATTTTCTTAAATAATTTTTTTTCTAAATATAAAATTACTCAATAGCTAATCAATATTGTAATTTAATAACACACAYACACATACACATACACATACACACACATACACATACACACACACACATACATACATACACACACAAACATACATACACACAAACACACATATACACACACATACACATAGATACAGTGTGAGAGGACAGGTATCATAGGGTGTATACTGTATACCAGTTCCGCATCACCATCATCGTCATCATCATCATCACCTTTATATACCCTTAACACCTACCTATCCCCTCCTAATACACAAATATAATATAAATTGTACTTATCTTATAAATATATTTAAAATAGGAGGGGAAAGGGATGCTAAAATAAAATTATATACACCTGTGCACTAATTATATACTATGAATGTACTCTCTCTCTCTCTCTCTCTCTCTCTCTCTCTCTCTCTTTCTCTCTCTCTCAACTATCAACTATAAACTTGTAATTATAATGTGTTATAACTTATAATCATATGACTCTCTCTCTCTCTCTCTCCCTTTCACACAATACAAACATATATAAACACCTAATGTATATAGGATTTCAATTTGATGACTAAACCGATTGGTATGTCTAGGTATCGGTAGTTAGTATTTTTTTGTTGATGTATATATTATTTATTTAAAATAAAATAAAGAGAGAGAGAGAGAGAGAGAGAGAGAGAGAGAGAGAGAGTATTTGAAAGTCAATGGGTTGAGAGAGTCATTGGGTATGCGCTTAGAAACAAACAAATTGGAAATATATATAATTTTAAAAAATAAAATGAAATAAATTATAGATAATTACTAATTATATGTTTATAATAATGATAATTACTTTTAAATAAATAAAAATAAATATTGTATATATATRTAGAAAAAATGTACAATAATTTAAATAATATTATCGTTAAACTTTTTATTTTTTTTTATTATTTATTAAACTAGCATAATAAAATTTACTGTATATATAAAAAAAAATTATATGATTGGTTAAAATTTAAATAATAGTTAATTTGTTTGTTTGTTAAATTGTTTATTTTTATCATGATTATTTTATTTATGAATAATTTTATAATCTATTATAAATATATATTTACATATAGCCAAATACATATAAATATTTAATGATAGTTAAATTTGAAAAAAATTATATTATTTTTTTTAAATATGTTAATTAGCATGTTTGTTTTGTAAAAAAAATTATTATAATACATGTAAAAATTGTAAAAATATATATCTATAATTTAATTTTGTTTTTTATTATAGTTAGGTAGATTAGTTATTAGTTTAGATTATATTATTTTTTAGTAATAATTATTAGTGTGTACTGGTACATTTTTTAAATAAAAAAAACTATATAATAAAGTATAATACAATGTATTAATTTGATAAATAAATCAAAATGTTTTTCATGGTCAAGGTTATGGTCTAAATAATACAGTAATAGTATACTGTATTTTATTATATATATATATATATATATATATATTATAGATTTATGTGTAAAAAATAAATATTTTTATAAATTTTATATATATATAAATTACTCATTGAATTATTTATTATAAAAAATAAAAAATTTTTAAAAAAATGTTATTTTATGATAACAACATAAAATATATTTTTAATTTTAATTATATATATATATATATATAAACAATATTTGTCTAAAATGTGTAGGATACTTTATATATATATTTAAGTGTAAAAATATTTTTTTTATTTAAAAAATTAAAATAACACTTTTAAAAACATTTTGTTTTTTTTTAAAAAAAGTACTGCTGTACTATAAATGTACTTAACTATCAATACCTATAATAATAATAATCAAAAAAAATCAAAAATAAAATTTTCAAAAAATACTGTATATTTAATTATATAGTAATTGTTTTAAGTACAGTATATTTATCAATAACAAAAAATACATATATATTTACTAATAAAATTAAAGTTATTTTTATCACATAATTATATTATTTGTTTAAACTTATTATTAATAAATTTATTTTAAATAAAAATTTTTGCATAATAAATATTTATTTTTTTTTTGAAAAAAATATTAATAGATTATAATTAATTACTATTGATTAGTACTATATTGTTTTATTTCCAAATATTAATTTTTAAATAAAATTATTATTATATATAAATATTTTTTTTGATAATAAATAAATAACATATAAATAATAGTTAATACAATATGTTATCAAATCTACTATACTATATACTGTATATTATCAATCATATCAAATAATATCTATAATATAATATAGTTATTAAATTACAACAAAATAATAATAATAATAATATAAAACTTGATTAAAAAATACATTTATGAAAAAAAATTTCATTGAAAATAATTGAGAATCAAATAACTTTTTTT